AAGAAATGAGGGGGGAAGTTATAGCTCAGTGGTAGAGTGTGTGCTTGGCATGCACAAGGTCCTGTGTTCAATCCCCAGTACCTCCATTAAAGTAAATAAATAAAAACTTAATCACCTCCCTCTCAAAAAAAAAAATCAGACAAAATATGGAGAAATGGGGACCATGCAATGGCAAAGGAGTTCCACAAGGTCACCCAGCTGTGGGGCAGTAGAACCAGGATCCAAGCCCATGACTTCAGATGCTCAGGTATCTTATCTATTCTGATTCCCTTTATTAGTGGAATCTATCAAGACAGTATATTTGACATCATTCACTTTATTTTTTTTTACAACTAATCATTGACGAACCTGATACATACATACAGTTTTATATACAGTCATTATTTGGAACACTGTTATACAAGAACAAAATACAAAAAAAGCCTGCATGCTGAATGTAAGTATTCATGTTTATGTATGACATAGGGACAGACATGCTAATAACAGTTTACGTATAAATAATGCTTTACACTTTACAAAGCGCTTTCGTAGGCATCACATATTTTGTCCTCCCACGTTGAATGTGTAGGGTGGCCATTATCGCCCCCATTGTACAAATGAGGGAATTGCAAGTTAGACTTTGTAATGTAATGCTACACAAGTTCTAAGCAGCAAAGTCAGGGCTCCAATCTGTTTTTCTACTGCACTTGCAGGATCCTTTCTATTACATTCCCATTGTTTCTCTAACACAGGAAATATACACATATGCAAATATGCCTGCACCTTCCCATATCAGTCAGGTGTTTCATTAAGAGTCACGGTGACCTAGCAATTTTCTGAAAGTTTTCATGGACACAGAGCACCATTAATAATCTGAAAAAATGCAATTGTAGAAGACCAAGAATGAGTACCCTAAACCAAAGGCCAGATTATGCAAAAATACACATCCATCTCAACTTTCAACAAGGGAGTGATATTATTCAGTCTTTTTAATGAATGTGAAACTTAGACTTGTCACAAATCCAGTTTTCAAAGCCTTTTAACTGCAGAAGCATCAGTCTTTTTGTCCTGCTGGGTTATTCACCTGGCACTGGTAGACCAATTAAAGCCGTTGCTCTACAGTCAGTTACTAAGGGGAGGATTTTATGCTTCAGTCGGTAGTGCCCAAATTCCAATCAGCATAACTGGGACCTGAGAATTCTCCATTCCATCACTCATCTTTTTTTTTTTTAATAGATAGAAAAATAGGAAAAATGCTTTTCCAAAATTTAGTCCCAAATTTGAGTAATTTGACCTTACTTTCTAAATTCTGCTGAAAGATGATTTAGATTTTGTGAAAGTTTAGCCTTATTTTATTGTTTTGTTTTCCCTATTGACCCACATTTTGCTATTTTTAAAACTCCACTTTTCCATATGCCATGGATAACGGCCAAGTATGTTGCTCCCATGGAAATAACAAAGATAAGAGGTAAACACTTGCTTCCCTAACAAAGGACTTGATTACATCTGAGTTGATTTTATGGTAATATTTCCACTACTTTTTGTTACTGAGGGTTACCCTAGGGACATTTGGTACTCCTGACTTTGATGACCTTTACTCCACTTTAGTTGAAAGCCACATAAGAGACTACATTAAATGTCTAATTTTGAAAAACTTTGGCACAGTGGTTATCAACCTGGACACACCCTGGAATTTCCTGGGGTGTTTTAAGAAAACTGCTGATGCCTGGGTCTCACCCATCACCCATTGATTAGGGCTCAGTGGGTCTGTGGTGCAGTCTTGATACTGGGATGTTTAAAAACTTCCAGATGATTCTAATGTGCAGCCGTATTTAGGGAATGTACTACCATGTTTAGAAGAAATTATCCAAAAGCTAAGCCAGTGTCTTTTAAAGAAATCACCAGGTAAATCTTTAGCCAAGAATTAGAAATATACCAGTCACATGAAACTAAGACTTACTAATAAAATCCATGTGCTGTATTACTTCTAGGCAGTGCTTTTGCTAGTGAGTGTTTAAAACCATCTCCTCAAGGAACAAATCTCTCATTGGTTGTGTTTTGCTTTTTCCCCTGGTGTAAATATTCTCACCACGGCTGATTTCACATTACCAAGGGTTTAACAAACAGCTTGCCGAATTCTTAAAAATCCAACTATCAGGTCTTACGAGACAATTGGAGCCAACTCCAGCACACTGGAGGGTGACTTCTAGGAGAATTAACATCACGTAAGGTGCTCGTCCTTTGGGGATTAAATGCATTTACTTAGGATTTGTTTTGGTTAGAGTAGATAATCATCAATTGCCTTTTTAAAAAGTTGCTGAGATTAGCAGAGTTATGTAGCAATGTTTGATGGCTTTCCTGTGAATTTGTCTTTTTCCACATATATATATATATATATATATATTTTGAAGTGTAGTCAGTTTACAATGTTGTGTCAATTTCTAGTGTATCGGTGGATTCATCTTAATAGGCTTCTTGATTGTTTTTATTTTTATGAAAATAATATTCTTAATAAAGTTAGTCACTTGGTGTGCAAATCAACATCAACAGCTCTGAGGTCCTGTGAAGTTCTTTTTATTTTGAGTTATAATCAAATGATCTATTTGAATATCATGTGCATCACTAGATAAATAATAATAACAGAAGACAATTCTATCTTGCTTTTCCTGTGCCAAGCACTGTTCTAAGCACGTGTATTAACTTATTTCTTACACGTATTAACCTATTTCTTACTCCCAACTCTCTGAGGCAGGTTCTATTATTATCTCCATTTTTTCAGCTAAAGACCCTGAGGATCTGAGAGGTTAGATAACTTGCCCAATGACACACAGCTAGCAAGTAGCAAACTGGAATTTGAACTAGGCAGTCTGACTACTTCTATCCAGCTTATATCAAAAATAACTAGAGAATCCAAATTATTTTCTGAGACTATTTTTAAAAAATACTGCAGAACTCTAGTTTTTTTTTTTTCCCCTCCTCTCCTCTGGTTGTTTGAAAATCTTTTTCAAATCTAGCAATATGTATCACCTGCTGAAATAATTATCTTGTCTTCCTCATTATCAGTGTGGTTCCACTTTTCCTGTTATGAAAGCAAAAGTACCCATGATTTTTGTATAATACTGCCATTATATTTATTGAGGAATACATTTTATAGTGAGTCATATTACCACAAACCTCTAAAAATAGCACCATAGTTTTTAAGTGCTCCTTTTTATGGGTTTATCCGGCTGGAGCCAAACACACACACACACAAACACACACACACACACCCCCCTTGGTTATGATGTCTCCCAGACACAAGTTGACAAAATGCCCAGAGGCGGAGAGGGACTTATCAAGTGTAGCCTGAAAGCATTTGCTTGGAAATAACTTCAAACTTGCATAAAATTTCAAGAATCAGACTAATTCAAAGAAAACACACAGAACTTTTACTCAGATCTGTCCTTAAATTTTATCCCATTTCCTTTATCAATTACTCTATCTATTTAAGTGCATAATGTGTATCTCACACACACACACACACACACACACACTGCATTCTTCTAAAATTTTTGAGAGTAAATTATATACATTCTGGCTTATTACCCCCAAATTGTTCAGTGTATATTTCCCCAAAATACAGAGATTCTCTTACATAATTATAACACACTTCTATTTAATTTACCACCTAAGTTCCAACTTACCAATTAACCTAATGTTGTCCTTTGGAGCATTCATTTTATCTCTGGTACAGCATCCGGTCTGGAAAGACTAACTGCATTTAGTCATCGGGTGTTTTTAGTATAATTTAATCTGGAGCATTTCCACAGAGCCTTTGTTTGCTGTGACATTGACATTTTTGGAGAATTCAATCAACACCCCCTTCCCTTTTTTACTAGAACATTCCTCATTTGGAATTTGTCTGCTGTTTCCTCATGATTAGAGCCAAAAAAGGATTCCAGGCCAGGATGCTGCATAAGCCATGTTGTCTCCTTCTCTGGGTATCACATCTGAAGGTGCGTGGTTTTCACACACCCTCATTGGTGAGGTAGATTTTGATTAGTCAGTCACGAGCTTGTCCACTTTTTCCACTGCGTGGTTTTTATTTTTTCCCTTATGATTAATAAGCAATTGGTACAGAGATATTTTAAGACCAAATTAATATCCTGTTCCTAATCAAAATTTCACTCCAGCTTTGGCATCCATTGACAGTTCTTGCCTGAGCCAGTGTTTACCGTGATGGTTGAAAAATGATGATTTTTTCCAATTCCAGTAATTTTTCCACATTTAAATTTCAGTCTATGGAATTCTATTGTAAGGAAGACATTTCCCTCTCTTTCCTCTCCCTCTTTCTCTCTCATTCTCAGTATGTATTCATGGATTCTTTCCTTTTTTTCTGGGTAGGGAGGGAAGATTGAACACAGGACCTTGTGCACGTTAGGCGTGCACTCTACCACTGAGCTATACCCTCCCTTCTAAGGTATTTTATTTTATATTTTGTTTTGAGGGAAGATAATTAGATTTATTTATTTACTTATTTATTTTATTTTTTATTTTTTAAATTAACTACTTTTTTATTTATTTTTAAAAAATTTTTTAATGGCGGTACTGGGGATTGAATCCATGACCTCATGCATTCTAAGCATGTACTCTACCACTGAGCTATACTTTTACCAAAGGATTCTTATTTTTCTGTCAGTGTTTTATAATTTATATTTTCTGTATTATTTTGTTTCTCAAATTGTCCCAGGTTTGGCCCATTGAGAGCACCTTCAAGGTGACTCTATCTCTAATATAAGGAGGGACACTTCCTTACTTTCTGGCATAACAAGGTATTTTGGGCTTATGTTATAGCTATACCCTCATCTCACATCAGAATCAGCCATTTTTCCAAGGAACCATCATTCTTTTTTGGTGGGGAATATATTAGACACCAAGCTCTGGGCACTGGATATACCCATTCATACTGAGGTGTCTTTGCTTCTCAGCTCTGTAGGCAGACAGAACTAAAAATATATATACATGTGCATCCACATAGACATACATATGAATTTACGTATGTTCCCATCCATTCACATTTCGTTCCTTCTCACCTTCCCTCTTCTGTATTGTATGTTTCCGGAGGGAAAATTCCAGCTCCTAACAACATCAGTACATCTTCTCATTTGCTCAATCATGTAATATACCTGAAATAGTTTTATTTCTTGGGCACAGTGGTCCCCTATTCCTGCCTGTCAAAAAATCTACTGGACCCAGTGATTCCATGCCTAGTTCTTTATTTAAAAGAAAAAGATTTCATATTTCCACAAACAGCCTTGTACAAGAATGTTTTATAGCAGCTTTATTTGTAGAAGCTGAAAACTGGAAATAGCTCAGTTGTCTTAAGAGGAGAATGGATAAATAAATTGTGATCTATTCATGCAATGGAACACTGCTCAGCAATAAAAAGGAACAAATTACTGCAGCATGCAACAATATGGATGAATTTCACAAACAGTATGCTGTCTTTAAAAAAGCAACAGAAAAGAATACATAATGTATGCTTCCATTTGTATGAAGTTTGAGAACAGGCAAAACTAATCTACAGTGATAGAAATTACATCACTACTTGCTTTTCTTGGAACAAGGATAGAGCAGGACATTGACTGGAAAGGAGCATAAGAAAACATCCTGGGATTAGGGAAATGTACTTTGTCTGAATCAGAATGTGAATTATATGACTGCATTCATTTGTCATAATGGATCAAACTTTATCTTTAATATCTCTGCACTTCTCTGTCCATAAATTAACCCTCAATTTTTAAGTTGGCTGGAGCAGAGTAAAGCTAGAACTCCTTATTTTAAAACAGCTCCTTATTCTAGCTTGCCTTACTTCTGGTCCTCCTCCCCCATCATTCTCCTGGCCCCTGAAGGGATTTGAGTTTGCTACCCCAATCAATATACTTACTTCCTTTTACCATCCTAGTCTTTCCTTTTATGACCATTTCAAACATACAAAGTACAATATAGGTTAGAATTTCACAGATAATTAAATGACATTATCAACCCTTTAGGTCTGCCTAATATACATACTTTAATTGAGTAAAGACTTGCATACCCATTGGAAATGTTTAAGTAACACTGAATTTTAGATTAATCCTCAGTTTAGGCGTTTGCCTATCTGATCTATTAAGACAAAAGCAAAAAGAAACCAACACACTGCAGTGTAGACAGGCTTTGCCAATGAAACAGTTGATTTCCAACTTCAAATGATGAAATGTCACTTCAGTGAGGAAATGATTTTCTCAGACCTTCTCATAAATTCTGGTGCAGACCACGTCCTTCATTTTACATTCCTTAAAAAAGAGAGATTAACTAAATGGCTAAAACTCAAACTCGGGCACAACAAATTTGTAATTTATAACAGACATTGTAACAGACAATTTATAACAGACATGTCAGCAAACTCATAGGATTAAACTCAGAAAGAACCCAAATATCAGTGTGTCAGTTTCCGGTAATTCAGAATCACGACCATTGAAATAGGAGAAATGGTTTTAAAGTTGATTTAAGTTATGGCACAGGTATTTTTTTAAGTGGCAAGTTTTTATGCATAAGTTGTACAGATTTAAATCTATTAAAATAGTTATTTTCAAAACTATCTGCACATTTGCATTATCTGGGGGAACACTTAAAAATACCGATGGCTCCCCCTCCCCTAAGAGATTTGCATTCAGTTGATCTGTGTTGGGGCCCCCATATTGGTATTTACTCCCCATATAAGTCTGTTGTGCAGCCAAGGATAAGATTCTCTGTACTGAAGGAAGAAATATTCAAAACACTACATGAATCTATTTATAATAATCAATGTCTATGTTAAATAGTAAGAATAGGACCTGAGACTTAAAAACATAGTTACAGGTCATCTCATATAACCTTGCCATCATTTTTTATCTGCCAATTACAAGAGGTCTCCAATGAGCTAAGCTTGAATTATTGGCATGGTTTAGTTACCATGGATTCTTGAAAACAAAACAAAAAACTGTAGATATCTACAAGTATTCAACAATGGACCCTTTGGAAATGTGCTTTGCTTTTAAAATTTAGACTTGCTTTTCTCTTTGTGAGTCCAAACTGATGAGGCTTATCCATACATTTTTTTAACTTTGCTATCATTTTTAGGTATTGTTATTTCTAAAACAACAAATAGGCTTTGCCATTTCTGAACTCTTGAATCTGAACTTGAAGTAACTATGGCTGAGTCTTGATAGTTTAAATATCATCCAAACATTAATTCTGACTTTATTCTCAGCCATTCTTATCCAAGAAAAAAAAGAATATTTTAAAAATAATATAACCAATTTTTCTATTTAAATATCATTATTTCTGTATTTAGAGTAAAAATACTCTTACCACTACCATTTTTCCATCCACCAACTTTCTCTTTATTGTTGTCTCATTGCCATCCCATCTCTGTACTTGATTCAACGAGCCTCTCGACAAGGTTACAATGCTCTGCAAAGACAGGTTCACACAATTGACTTGCTTGGACTTTGGTTGATTAAAGAAGCAGTTGATTCAGTACTGAATCACTCTCATGATAGATGTCTCATGAGGCACATTCATTTTCAACAGAATGGAGTGGTCTATCCTTTCAAATACCTGTGAGGGTAATCCTCTCTCTCAAAGTAGTGGATAGAACCAACTTCGAAGAGAAACAATCAAGTTTACCTTTGCTTTCCTATTGTCAGCTGTGGTTTCTTCGAATTCCTGGCCCAGCTTGAAGGAGATCTCTGTATTTTTAAAGGTACTTTCTGTTCTTATGGTTATAATATCCCCTTTCTTGCTGATGATCACTCTGGGTCTGGCCAAATTTCCCAGTTTTCTGGTGGCTAATCCCACGCCTGGAAATCAAGACAGTGTTAGAATTACATTGACCAAGAGAACATATGTAGAGAGACTATGGGTGGCCACATGTTACAGTCCACTGTGCCCCAGGTGTGGAGATGGCTCGTAGTATCACTTACTGCTAAGGACCTCTTCCCGTGCTTCACCACCTAATGGAAACACATGCCCATGGACTTGAATAGTTCAAGTTTTGTTATTACAAAAGTAATGCCTGCAGATTTTAAAGATAAAAGTGTTTAGCCTGAATATGCAAATACAAGTCATCTACTGTTACCACGTCCATTCGCATGCTCCATTAAAAACCACTAACTATAGCTTTGTATGGACCACTCCAGACATGTTTAGTTTGTATACATAAATGTTGTAGATATATTTTTCAAATGAGACCTATACATGCTGTTTTATGATTTTTTTCCCTCAATGACATGTTATGGATATAGGAAAAATCTCCCCTCCATATCCTTGATAGAATCTCATTGCTGAAATTTTGCTGTGGCCCCTAAATCTATCTGCACCATTTACGAGTGATCATAGGGAAATAAAATAATCTTTTAATTGAAGTATAGTTGATTTACAATGTTATGTTAGTTTCAAGTGTATAGGAAAGTGATTCAGTTATATATATTTTTTTTCAGATTCTTTTCCATTACAGCTTGTTATAAATATTGAATATAGTTCCCTGTGCTATACAGTAGGTCTTTGTTGTTGATCTATTTTATATATAGTAGTGTGTGTCTGCTCATCTCAAACTCCTAGTTTATCCCTCCTCCTGCCTCTCACTTTCCCCTTTGGTAGCCATAAGCTTGTTTTTCATGTTTATGAGCTTATTTAGATTCCACATACAAGTGATATCATATGATATTTGTCTTTCTCTGTCTGACTTGCTTCACTTAGTATGGCCATCTCTAGGTCCATCCATTTTGCTGCAAATGGCATTATTTTATTCTTTATGGATGAATAAATAAAATAATTAAATTTTTTTTCTCCATTTGGAAACAAAACAAAATTAGACTCAAGTAGTAATACTATATGACTTAAGATTATAGAAATACATATGCGGAAAAATAAAAATGTCAAATGAGAGAGATATGTGAAGAAAAATCTAGTTATATATAAATACATATAATTACAGTTATATATACATAAAGCTGTGTGGAGAGTTAGAGCTAATAAATAATTGCGAACTGTACTTTTTCTTCTAATTCTGATTGATCTTTTGTTATTTGATATGTTTTAAGACAACTTTTTCAACTAAATTTCTTCTCTAGAGCCTAAGAATCTACATTTCGCCAAATCCCCAGGTGCCCTATGCACTCTAAACTTTGAAAATGACATAATTAGGGAGTCTTCCCTAGACTTCCTTATGGACTTTATTATATTTTGCTTCTTCCTAAGCTGTAAAGTGAAATTCGTAAGTCTAGCCAATCTTATAGTATAGATAGATAGATTCCTACTAATTCCCGTGGTTTTTCAGGTAAGCACGACATGATCTTGCTTATTTTATACAAAAATAGAATCCTTCTCATAAGCGTTCTGAACAGATAAAGCTGCAGATGCTTTGACGAGCATGGCAAACTGAGGTCATGGGCTCCACTCTCTACTTATCTATACAGCTCTGGAAATGTCTAAAGACCCTCCAAACCTGTTGTGCTCATATCTGTGGAACATTCCCTAGAAATAATGTCAAATACAGTTGATGTACTAATGACTAGACTTCCCATCTCCATCCACTGTCGCCGACTCCGGGCAAGTCTGATGTTAATGTGGCTGAATTTGAATTCACTGACACAACCCAATTCTTTTTCTCTCAGTGACTTTCTTAGACTGTGAACATCCTGCTCTTTAAAGAATTTACTTTTTACAAACTGTATCTACATAATTATGCAACAACAGACAACCTAGAGGTAAAGAGAGAAAATTTCAGGTTTCGATAAGCATCCAAATTTTAAATTGAGGTTTTCTATTAACGTTAGTATATGCAACTCTTCATGAGCACATTAGTTCTTATACAACTGACTTTCAGGAAAGCCAGAGAATGGATTGACTAAGCTTCTAAGATTTCTTTCTTCTACGTTTGAAACCAAAGCCCTATTGACATGAAACTGCCTTTGAAATTAGTGGGAGTTCCACACATTTAAGCAGCTCTTATTTTGAGTTAAAATCTATTAAAATTGCCACAAACAAAATGCAAATAAATTAGCTGATTGACACAACAGGAGATTAATTCCAGAAGAGAATTATACTTCAGCCTGTGCAAACTTTCCCAGACTCCTGGAAAAGGAGTTAGAAGGAAATAGTCACACACCTTTCTCAAAAAGGATCCTCTCACTTAGAACAGCAAAGAACATTTCTTACCCAGAGCTTTCATGTAATCATCAAAGTGCTCACTGGAGACAAGTTTCCAGGTGCCAAGGAATTTGTTGGTCATTGTGATGGGTGAGGATTCAACACAGTGGCAGATGAGATTCAGGAGACTTCAGTGAAACGCTGAAGCCTCAGAAGATTCTTTTCAAAGATGTCCAGGGCACGTGACTCTCACAGAGACCCAATGGGGAAAAGCAGTGTCAGGACTGGGCAATGAATGGCTCTTCAATCATCCACTAGGACAAAAGAAAACCCCACATAATGTCTCCTTCAGTCTCCAAAAATATTTATACAAAATCAATGACAGTACTACTTGAACCTTCAAATTTTTGTGACCCTACATTTTTAAGAAGCCTTTAGGTCCTTAATTCTTTAGGAAAAAGTCTATGAATTGAGTGTTCTAACACACTAAATTATATGACCATGAATGAATGAATGTGTGTGTGTGTGTGTGTGTGTGTTTAGGCATCTTGCTCACTCTCAATCCTGAGTCTGCACAATTAAGAATTCTTATTGAAAGAGAAGAAAGAGGAGGAAAATGTCCATGAGAATGGTGCTAACCGCCTCAAATATGTTGTGGGAGAGAAATGCAGGGGAGCAGTGTGAGGACGTATTCATAGGTGAGGGAGGCTCGGCATAGTTCGCATATCCGAGGCCGGCAGAGTGGGCAGACAATACGGTCGGTCTCTCACAGCAGAGCACAGAAATCGCATTCATGGCTGAACAAGAAGCAGCCCTATTACACGCTCTTTGACCACAGCAAAGATTTTCATCTAAAAAAAACCTTAGGTTCGAATTAAGCAGGTTCTTGGCTAACACAACGACTTTTTAAGTCCTTTCAAGAAATCTCCAGTTTTATAAAGAGAAAGGGTTTCCTATAAAAATAATACGAATGTATACTGAGAGCCCATTATGGACCAGTCACTGTGCTAAGTGCTTACTATGGATTATTTCAGTTAATCCTCTCAACAACTCCAGGAATAAGGCACTCTTATTATATCCATTTTACTGATGAGAAAACTGGAGCTCGGGAGGCTGGGCAACTTGCTCCCAAAACTTGAATAAGGAGAGATAGTATTTCAACCTGGTACTGTTTGTCAGTGCATCATCTCGTACTGCACCTGCTACACCATTTGCGCTGGAGGCTCTGGCCAAAGGTCAGACAATACTGATGTCACCGTGACTGAATGGAGGCACTCATTCTCTGCTCAAAAAGCAAGAGAGGTGAAAAGTCAAGAGATGAGGCATCCAGGCCATTAGGATACATCAGAGCCCCAGTCTTGGACCAAGGGGAGCAAATATAAAACCACTTCAAATATAAGTGTTACTCTTGGGTATATCAAAGTAGCTGCCATGTACTTTCCTAGCAGGGTTTCCACACTGACATTAATACTGATATTACCAGATTGTATATAATTAGTACACAGGTGGGCTCTCTTAGCAGTAATGAAAACAGCTCATGATCAATTTACTCATAACAGGTAGAATCACTGACCTTCGGGACTCAGGTTACTACTGGCATAGCTGTACCGTAACCATTGCAATTATGTGGTTAGGGTCCACGCGGGGTCAAAAACGTAGAATTATACACAGTGGGCCCAAGTGTCATCTTACATTGCTCGTGCCTGGATAACTCAAGGTAGGAATGAAACAGTGAGGAGAGAAATTCCTAACCAGCTAACCCAA